TGCTTCTTTTTAGTCAGGGGGTAGTTCACGGCTTGATTCATCATTTGGTCTATTATCACAGAAATGGACACAGTGGTGGGGACAGAGTGTTGGAGAATCAAGCAGATGTTTTCACTCAGATTGTGTAGTAACAGGTTTGCACATTTTCCCTACTCTAATTACATCATCGTTAGTGATTGGAAATTGAAAAATTGGCCTTTTCAGAAAGAACACTCCCCTTTTCCCCCCAAAGTTGACCTGTATATATTTGGATTATTCTTTTCTAGATTCTATGACAATTGCTTCAGTTATTCCATTAAGTATTAGTGATATTTTGAACCCTTTGATGCATTTCAGGATTCATAATCGTCTAGTGATAAAGTAGCTCATTAAAATGACCAGTTTAGTACATATATCCAACACTTTATATGTGTGATTTTAAAGAATTTGCTTAAACTTTTAAGACTATCTAGTTTTTTTCATCTATCGGATGGGGAAGATAACTGCCTATTGCATAGACTTGTTCTGAGATTTAACTGGATAGCTCATATAGTGTTAAGTGCTTAATATAAAATTAGTCATGAAGTCCTTAGTATAAAATGAGTATACACAAGTGACAGATAGTTAGTAATGTATCTGCATTTACTGTATAGGAAAGAAATTTTACTTCCCCCCCATTTAATTGAGCATTCTTTCTTGTCTTCATGAACTGGTGAAGTGTTGCATAGACTACTTGTGGCTAGAAGTATTTACTTATAAATTACATATACAATAAGCAAAATGTTAGCACATGATTTTAACTTCTAAAATGAGAAAATAAAGGGGCCTAAAGGTTAAGTCTCAACACTACCACCAGTACAGCCTGAGTTCGATTCCCTGCCAGGGAGCTAACCCACATGGCACAGCAGACCTCTCCTGTCTCTCCCCCTGCTCCCCTTAGCAGAGTATTTCAGTAGATCCACCTGTTCTACTCCTCACTCTATCTATGGTGAATTATCTCACCCTTGGCACCTCTGGCCTCCACCCCAGTTCTACACAAACACAAAAATTCAAAAATATGAAAAATTAAAAAATGAGAAAATATAGGTAAAAATCTAATGTCATCATAAGATTTTAACTTCTAAAATTAAAAAAACCTAGGTTAAATAGCATACTTATTTTATTCACAGAAAATGAGATTGAGTGATATTAATAAAACTTACCTAAAAACTAGTAAGATGTGAAATGTTCTGACAGAGATGATCACAAAGCAAATTCCTTGCAAATAAGCTTTGGGTTTATCTTTCCTTCCTTTCACTTTAAAAATGAGTAAAATATGTCCATACTGAAAAGGCTGATATAAAACTATGAATAAACAAGAGGAATTAAGAAAATTCTAGCAACTGCAGATTTACGAACGTTTTCCATAAATGGATACTGAAACATACTCGATTTCTTCCTACCACTTTCATTGCTAGAATTTTCATATCCTTATACTCACTACCTTCCTCTTTACCATTTCCTATTCTCTGCCCTCTTCAACAATCATTCTTCTCTCAAGACTTTTATTATTATCAGTAGTGATAACACATGACTTCATGTCTGTAGTGCAAACTATGTTGCAATTTCCAGACCCATATCTTCATTCCCCTTGTTGATGTCCAAGCACTTTGAAGTTACGCCAGCTCTTCAAACTAACATGTCCTGAATGAACTCATTGTTTTGTCCCTGACTGGTTCTACTCCTGTTCTCCTTGTGTCAATGAACTATGCCATTCTTAACTCAACTGCCCTATAGAAACCAAGACTTCATTCTTCAGTCTTTCCTGTCTACAGTCCTTTCATGTCAAATCAGTTATATGTCATGCGAATTCTTCCTGGGCACGAACTATTGGTTGTTTCCTGGTCTCTTATCCCCTTACAACCACTCTTTTCGGCCATTGTCACCTATGACCTGTGTTCTTCTAAAAGCCTCCTGAGTTCTTCAATCTATTCTCTACATTTAGTTAGACCAAAGTGATACCTAATTCTTTTTTAAGAAAGAAAAAACTTTTATTATTGAATAAGCATTAAATCAGAGAATAATGCATATTATAAATAATCCACTAGATTGTTTATAGTGAATTGTGTATTGTTTGTTTTTTTGCTGTGTATGCAGTATGTATTTGCTTGATTCTTCATTGCACTGAAAGCTTTCTGAGGGCAGGGATTATTTATTTGCTGTTTTGGTGCATATATTTGCTTTGGAATCCATGTGGTGCTTCCGACAACATAGGATATTAGTGAAAGTTGAATGATAGAACCGTGTTTCACCTTTAACACAGGAAAATAAAAAGTGAGTTGGTGTTTTAACCAATGTTCCCTACTCACGGATAGGAAGACTCAACATCATCAAAAATGGCCATCCTACTCAAAGAAATATACAGATTCCATGCAATCCCAATAAAAACCCCAAGAGCATTCTTCAAAGAAATTGAACAAATATTACTGAAATTCATATGGAACCACAAAAGACCTTGAGTAGCTAAAGTTCTCCTGACTAAAAGGGGAAAAAATGGAGGCATCACACTTTCAGATTTCAATTTTTACTTAAACCCATAATAATTTAAACAGCATGGTACTAGAACAAAAATAGACTCACAGACCAATAGAATAGAATCAAATAGAATAGAGAGCTTAGAAATAAAACCACGCATTTATGTTCAACTGATCCATGACAAAAGAGTGAAGTATATACACTGGAACAAGGAAAGCCTCTTCAATATATGGTGTTGGGAAAATTGGACTGCCATATGCAAAAGAATGAAAATAGATGTTGGACGAAAGAAGGAGGAAAGATAACTACTGATAGCATTCCTGAAAACTACTATTCAAGTATTGGGGCCCCATGTCTGGGCTGATCCAATGGCTGCACAGTACTTAGAAGCCTGAGAATGAAAGCCCATGGAAACAAATCTGACGAGCCCTGTGTTCTGGGCTGGAAAGATTCTGAGCTTTAACTTCCTGACTCATAACAACACCGAGGAATAACAAAGTTCAGAATAAACATCGTTAACAAAATGTATTTTACAAATGTTACGTAATTGTAGCTACCAATGATTCCAAAACTTTGTCACCACTAGGGACAGATTTTAAAGACAGAGTGACAGCATAGAACTGTCCTGCGCTTGGGATCCGACACTGATCCCTTGTACTGGCTTGGTAAATTCCCTTGTACTGGCTTTGTAAATTCAAATCAATCATTTGGTGTCTCTAAGACTCAGTTCTGTCATATGTAAAAAGGGGACAATGATGGCACTCTTTATTCTGGTAAATATGAAGCAGCATACATGTGGCACCTAATAAATAATGGTTTCTCTTTTTACTTTTACTTTTTTTCCCACATGCTTTCCATAGCAATCCATTTGGGAAGGATTTTGCCCACAAAATGAACTGAACTAATATAGTCATTAATTATATTTTCCATTTTAAAACTAATTCTATCTCTAGCTATGTTAACAGAATCAGCTATTTATTTATTTATTTATTTATACAAGCACTGGGTACAGTCAGAAGCACGGGAGGGTGAGAGAATTCACCAGAGCCAGAGCAGGGAGCAGAGCAGGCAGAAGGACCAAAGTACACTGCTGAGGGGAGCAGTGGGCAGCAGGAGAGGTCTGCATGCCATGTGGGACCCTCCTCTGGTGGCCGGGGATCGAACCGGCGCTGCAGAGGCCACGGGCAGTTTCCCAACCCAGCACTCAACCACTGTGCCACCGGGGAGGCCCCAGAATTAGCTATTTAGATAGCAGGTGTTTAGGGTGAACTATTAGCTCTATTTTGTCTGTCAAAATACTCATCAACTGAACTTAAAATTTCTGTACTTTATTTAAACGCAGAATAGAAAAGTTTTTGAACTAATAAGCTAAAGAAATATTAAAAATATTAGAACATTTTATACATTTAGGGTTTTATCTAAGGTAGAATCAAGACTTTCTTCAAACCTCTGTTGATAAAACCATTCCTAATTTTCATCACCAGCATTCCCAAACTTTTTCAATAAAAACTAGACATTATTATATTTTCACATGATTGTTAGCAGGATGAAACACAACGAGGTACCAAGAAGCAGGGTATGTCTGCACACTCACAGGATGTCTTACTGCCTTCTTTGCCACATACCTATAGGATTACTTCCTTGCAGGTCAGTTTCAACTTCCTGAGTTTTAAGATTATTTGGGATTCAAGTCTTTTGATGTTCCTTCCACAATCTCTCCAGGCCACAAGATTCATCCCCCCACTTTCTTCCCCTTTCATCTAACAAGGAAAATTCAAGGAAAAATTTTACTCAAGTACTGGGGGCCCATCTTCAGTTTTTGCTCTCACGTTTCTCACTAGATTATTACAAACTTTCCTCTCAGTCTCTCTTGCCTCACAAGAAACCATGAACTTGAACTGAGAAGCTCAATATGTTTTTGCTCCCTTTTCTTTTAAATTCAGAAGGCGAAATTACTTTATGTAAATTTATTTTCCCTAGGGAGAGTAGCCTAGAATACCTCTCCCTTTTTTTTGGTGGGGGGGGGGTCAGGGAACTGCCTGTTAGACTTAGTTTTCCATATATTTATTACCTTTCTAGTTATTCATTTAACAGCCTTATCTGATGAGTTTCTTTGAAAAACCAGTTCAAACACTAAGATTAAAGTTACTACACATAAGCAAAACAAACAAAAAAGATATTAAGTTTATTAAAATTGTTTTAATTTCTCACCTTGAAATTTTAAGTTGGATCACCTAATGGGAAATATAAAGAAACTGGAGGAAAAACATGCACACAGGTGCATGTTTTTTTTTTTTTTAAAGACTTTGTCTTTTAAAAACATTTAGTCAAGAAAGACAACTTGATTGATGCAACCAAATTTGAAGCTTTTTCATACTATAAAATCAAGCATAAAATAAATATACATTTAGTAATTCTTTGACATACTCATTTTTCTGTCTAGAAGGTTGTGCCCGATGTTGGTCTTCCTTATAGGAAGAATAATTTTCAGGTAAATTAGTACTTACCATCATCCTTGTCAGGGAGGATTGTAATCTGAGCCCCTGGGAACTCTGATCCAATTCTCCCTCCCATGGGCATGCTCAGAAGCACATGGAATGTTTCCTTCTCTTCATGCAAGGAGTCGTCAATCACCACGATCCTGCACATTTTCTCTCTCTCGCCTCTGTCAAAGCGGACAACACTGGTGTGGTCCTCGGGTCTGGATATATAATCAGAGTAGGACAGCACTGAGGTAGGCACAGTTCCACTTGCTGATCCTGGAGGGAGAGAAAATCCAAAAGATGTGTCTGTAGAACTTATTACAAAGGTATTTCCAGAAACCATTATTTTATTTGCAGCATTTTAATGGTCAGTCAGTATCTGTGGGCACTTCTAGACCTTGCAAGCATCATGAGTCAACTTCATAATGGTCTCAGACATATGGTGAATATTACATTTCAATTGTTTTCTCCTCTATTCCTGCTAGTGGTCCTTCATATCAACACAATGTTATAAAATTATAGCTCCTAGTATTTCAGTGCTTACTCTGTGCAGGCAAAGTGCCAAGTGCTTTAGAGGCATTGCCTCATTAATCCTCTCCACCCACTCCACTGGGTTTTATATATTTGCTAACAAAAATTTACAAAACCTTAAACCACTTGCCCCAGGACCCAGAGCCCAAGACTCACCCTGAAGTCTGTGTTTTTAATCACTGTTCTCTATTGTCTTTCAACTTATATACCTTAATGGAAATTTTAAAGTACATCTGTTCAGATATCAACAGCATATGTAACTTTTTCCTTTGCATTATTAGAAAACCTATTTCTTATATATGAATGAATATTATGTATTAACTTTAATTATGCATTCTGTAAAACTACCTTTAAGAGAAAGATTAGCCAGAAACAAAACAAGCATTTTAAAATTTGATCGTAATGAGTTTCAAACTACTTTGAAATTCATTTCCTTTCCTAGGGCATGCATTTCTTTGCCTTTTTTTTTTTTAAACAATGATCCTGTTCTACTTGAGCTGGCTTGGGTGACAGAGGGGAACCTCAATCTTTTGCAATCCCGAAGCCCTTGAGTAGATGCAGTCTCTGCATCCTCAGAAGCCTTCTGGAAAAATGCTTTATTCCTTATGAAAATTGTGATTTTCATGTCTGCCTGATGGCATAACATATGGCTCCAATCTGTTAGAGAGGCTTATTTAGATCTTATTTAGGCTTATTCAGTTCATTCACAAATGGCTACCTTGTTGCGTATAACAGATCACCATCAACTCCTGACTCACGTCTCCACTTCTCCTGACAGGGATGAACAGCTCACCAACATCTTCTTCAATGGAATATTCAGATTGGGGAATAAATACAGTTGATTCTAAAAGAAAATACCATTGCAGTCAGTTACTTTTGTCTGAACTTATCTCTGAAACAATCTTAATGCAAATTAAAATTGCTCTAATGATTAGTTTTTCCCATTGCCTATTCTTTCAGAATATCATCTGGACCCACAGCTGGTCTCTCTTCCTTGAGCCCCCTCACCTCCCAAGAGCCTCTCCTTCTTCAGGCCTGGTCTATGGCAACAGCAAGAAATAGCATTCTCCGCTTCAAGTTATGAGCCAAAGCTGACTGTGAGAAAATTCTAAAAGGCCTCCAGTCCATTTTCCAGAAGAAGCCCGTGACAGAGTTGGTGCATACCTGGCAGGACCGATGCTATTTAGTGACCTACATAAACAAAAATGGCAATTTTGCCAACTTGAAAGTGTATCCATATGGATGGATGTCGCTATGACTGTGATGCATTAGGTTGAAGAAGAAGTTGAAAGTCTTTTGAACAGAATAGAGTAAAGAATGGACAAAATGAGTCAGAACATCACTAGGTGGGTGGTGGAGACGGGGTAACATTATGTGAAATAGTCAAACTGAAACCAAAGTTGGTCATGAGGGTAGTGATTGGTCAAATGGTGATGGATGGATGGAAGGAATATATATGATTGTGTGGTGATGTCTTACACAGTCTTCAAGAGACTGCTATCAGGTTCTAATAGAAGACTATCCCAATACAAAAGACGTACGCTGAAGACAGAAGGCAGTTTGATTATGTATTAATGATTTGAGTGCTATTATGATCCCTGTGTCTCCAGAAGATTCCACAGGGAATATCTCAGACTGATTCTTGATCTCAGTGAAAGTGCCGAAGCATGGGGAACCATGTTAATTTGACTGAAGCCCTGCATCTGTACAAAGAACAATAGTATTGTTCTATGGGATCCTCAGAGGAAATCCTCTGTGTCCCTTCATACTTGGAATTATGGGCATTTTACACTGTTTGGAAGAAAGCTCAACCCTGAAGGTCAATATCCTCTCATTATGTACTAGAAAGTCTTCCTGACCTTTCTGTGCTGCACAGTGTGTCAAAATGAGTCAGACAACTGCTATGAATTCCTTCCAGTTTTCTTCATTATTATCATTAATTTTAAAAAGCTAATTGAAAATGTATTTATTGATGAGTTAGGATGTTATTTTTGAAAGTCAGCTAGAGGATCATTAGCCAGTATATCGAAAGCTGTTAAGTGTACTGAACCCCTAAAATGTGATTTCTGTTCCTTTTTTTTTTTTTTCTGTATGGGTCCTTTTTGTTTTTGGTAGACTTTCAATCTGTTGTCCGGAGAAATGAACATCATTTATTCTGGAGGAAAGTTCTTGATGGTATTTTTTACTCCAAAAGATTGACTCAGATATTAAAATTTGGTGTTTCCAAGAATTAAAAACAGTGAATAGCAATGCCTCAACTAAAATTACAAAAGAGGAAAAGAAAGGAATAACAATGTGAGGGAAAGTAGGGAGGACAGGGAGAAGTAGGTTTAAAACATGCAGGCTCTGGGCCAATCAATTCTTAACCTAGAAATAAAACCCAATTTATATACAGAAATTGCTTTTTTCTCAATTAATAAGCACTCTTGACACACTTCTATAAATGTTACTGGGTTCTCTCATATGGATCAATATCTTCCAAAAGAGTAGCTGAATTTTAGAGTGAGAGCACTCTCTGAAGCCAGATTGCTCTACATTTTACTTTACAGATGAGAAAACTTGGGCTCATGGGATTGAATTTATTCATCAAGGGCTCTTACTGAGGGAGTCAGGATTTAAACCTAGCTCTTGCAATTTCTACTCCATTGTGCACTTAGCCCAAATATATTCCTTTAATGATCAATGATTTAAAATATAACAATTCAATCTTCAACACTTTTTTCTCTTGGTTTGGTTTTTTAACAACAGTTCCTTTAGAATTCACACATTTATTTATCAGTCCTATGGACCATGTCTTCAGTTTTCTTTTCCCCCTAGAGAAATGGCAATAACAAATAGTATACAACATTATATTGATGCAATTTTTAAAGTCTCAAAGATTCATTTTTAAGGTAGTGGAAAGGTATACTAAATAATAAAAATGACATAACTGAATGCTGATGGATGTGGTTCAACGTAAAACTACATTTAACTTAATAAAACATTTAGTTTCATAGTTTGATATGATAATCCCTACAGATACTTTGGGATTTGACTGGGAGTCTGTTTCACTGAAAGTCTCACATAATACCAAAAATGCTTCATGGTTACTTTTAAGCCAGCAAGCCACATTGCTTTTGATGATTATAAAAGGCCGCTGGAACAGCAGACACAGGCCCTCGAGGCCTTGTTCCACCCACCCGTCTCCACCCTGTCCTGTGCCCCAGGAGCTGACAAATGGGAACCACATCAAAGGTCTTCTTTGCTCGGACTTCTGGTCGGGTCAGCCAAAGGAGAGCACAGTCAGGAGCTGGGGGCAAAATCATTGTACGGGCCACAGTCATTCTCCTCAGGGCTCCAGTGCTGCCCCCCAAGTAAAGGTCTGGGTTCACCTAACTTCTTTCTTAGCCTCTCAGGTCAAGAGGTGTTCATGATACCCACTCTTACTGGTCTTGGGTTTTTTTTTTTATGATGCTTGGTGGATTCTCAAACCCTCCCTTACCTTTGTAAATAGTTAAATTGTTAAGAGCAGAGTGGTATTATTAAATTATTTTTAAAACACTCATTTTAAATGTGTGCAATTTTTTTCTCTTGGGACTCTCACTAATACACCAATGTGAAAAATAGCATCATTAAAAAATGATCTGTATATGAGATTGTATGACTAATTATTCATTCATCAAACATTGGTTGGGTGATTTCTACTCGCCAGACACTGGACTAGGCACAGGGAATATGGAATATACAAAGTCCCTGGCCTTGTGAACGTTTATTCCTGTGGTAGGATGGAGAGAAGGAAGAAATAAACAAATACTAGAAAATGTAGTGTATATTTCTAAGTGGCAAATGATATTAAGAAAATAGTGTGTGCAAAGGACATGGGGGGGGGCTATGGCAGTATAAGTTTCATGGGGGACTCTGTATTATATAAAAAGTAACTCTGATAGGGCCTCCCCTAGTGGCGCAGGAGGTTGAGCACCACGCTGTGAAGCTGTCCGCAGTAGCCTCTGCAGCGCTGGTTTGATCCTGGCTGGCCGGCGAGGGTCCCACATGGCACGGCAGACCTCTCCTGCTGCTCCCCTCAGCAGTGTATTTCATCAGTCTGCCTGTTCTGTTCCCTGCTCTGTCTCCGGTGAATCCTCTCACCCTCCCGCGAATCTAGTCTGTACCCCGGTTTTTGTATAATAAATAAATAAATCTTTAAAAAAAAAAGTAACTCTAATAGAGTCACATTTGAGTTGAGATTGCACAGGGGTGGTGAAATGTTCTATTAGAATAACTCAGGGAAGAGAATTCCAGGCAAGGGATGAACAAGTGAAAAGGGCCTCAGGCTAGGTAGCGCTGGGTGTGAACAAGGAATGACCTAAAGGACAATGTGGTTTGAAAACAATTGGCAAAAAGAAGAGGGTAGGACATGAGGCCAGAGAAACAATGATGGGATGGGATGGGCCCCCACGTGATAGGCACAGCCAGGACCATTGGAAGGACTTTGACTTTCGCTCAGAGTAACATTTTATGAAAATAAACAAAGACCACAAAATGGGGTGAAAACATGCAAAAGCTATATGTACAGAGTTTGCCTTAGAAAGGGAGTCAGCAACCATGACTTGTATTTGGCAGAGACTCAAAGACATGCAAATGCATTGGAAAGCTTTCTAGTGGAAAAAGGGGATGGTTTCAGGTAAGCCTTGAAGAAATCATCCTCTGCGGCTGTTGGGGGAGGATATTTGACTTTCTCCTAGTTGGTCTTCAGTTGGAAGTGGTGACCTAAAATTAGGGAAGCTGTCAGTTTTGATCAAGTCTTGATTATTTTGGACCGAATTCTATAGAGGTTGTGGTTTGGCTTCCCAGCTACTGTAGGTTGTGGGTTAGACTTGCATTTTTTAAAAAAAGATTTATTTAATTATTTCAAGCACTGGGTACAGTCAGAAGCATGGGAGGGTGAGAGAATTCACCAGAGCCAGAGCGGGGAACAAAACAGGCAGAGTGATGAAATACACTGCTGCGGGGAGCAGCAGGCGCCGCAGGAGAGGTCTGCGCGCCATGTGGACCCTTGCTGGCGGCCGGGGATCGAACCACACTGCAGAGGCTGCAGGCAGCTTCACAGCCCAGCGCTCAACCACTGCGCCACCAGGGGAGGCCCTAGACTTGCACTTTAATACACAGTCTGACGATTGTCTTTTTGTGTATCTAATCTCTCAACATGAAAGCATGAGAAGGCTTTGATTACAAGGTGCTGTAATCTGACATATTTTAAGAACATTATTTTTGGCTACTGTGAGATAGATAGACATTAGTGGTCAAGAGTCAATGTCTTGCCAAGGAGCAAAGAATCTATTTAGAAAGCTTAACAACCATCCAGGAAAGAGACTGAAAAGATTGGACCCGGTGGTGACAGTGGAAGTGGTACCTTATTGCTGTGTGCAGAACAACTATAGGAAGAGCCAAAAGAGTTTTCTGTTCTATCAAATGAGAACAGAAGATGAAAGATAACTCTTTATTTTGTTGTCTTGACCAATTGGAGGATGAAATTGCTTATTTATAGAGGTGAGGATTGTAGGTGAATCAGATTTGGGTATGGAAGTCAGCAGTTCCATTTTGGACATATTGAAATTGAGGTATCTTTTAAATATCCAAACTGAGATGTCTGATTAGACAGTTGGGTATATAATCCTGGATTTCAGCAGAGGTGTCCAGATGGGAAATATAAACCTGGGAGTCACTGGCATGTGGATGATTTTGTGAAGCTAGGCATCAGCGTAAAATCACTTAGGGAGGGAATGTAGATATGGAAGACAATGGACCTTAGTTCTGACCTGGGGCATTTGGAGGTCGGGAAGATAAAGGAGAGAGCAAAGGAGTGAA